TGCAAAAAGAAGGAAAAGAGAAACTGATTAAAACACTCTATGAAGTGTGCAATAAATGTAACATACTATTTTCTATGTTTGCTATAAGGGTTAGAGCTGTCTTGAGCTCACCCCAAGGATTGATATCAAGGCTGATCTGGGCATATGGTAAAGGACTGATGTCGGCTAAAGTAAGGCCAATCAAATGTCAGTCCTTCCTTCCCTTTACTCTACTGCTGCTGTTCTCAGCCTGGTCTCTACTTCTGTCTTGCTCTCCTCTGGAGCGCCCCCTCCCTTCACTGAGGGCTGAACTCACACAGTGGAGCAGAGAGGAGGTTATTTTTTACTTGAGTGACAACACTGCTCATTATTCATACATACAATAAATCACCCAAGCAGAACACAAACTTAAAGAAATTAAATCTTTGCCTGTGGTCCACTCATTAAAGTCCAATTTTCACACCTTAGCCAGTATAAATGTATATTTATAAGAAAATTTATTGAATTTTTGTACACTTTGAGATTTAGACTGACCAGCTTCTTCTTTGTGTCTATATGTATGCTGTGTCTGTTTGTGTGCATCTGTGTGCGCAAGGCAACATAGAAGCAGCAAACTTTGAAAGGTAGTATTTAGGTAATTTACATACTGTCAACTGATACCCAATGTCAGAAGACTCCAGTCAGGGCCAACAAGACTTGGACATCGTTAATAAGCACAGACCAGTCCAGTCCACACCGTCCCAGTGGCACAGCCATGGGAAAGCAGTTTTCTTCACAATGGCAACTAATATTAACTTATAACACAGGGCAAAACAGACACTATATGTGAAGGAAAATGTATTAGACACAAAAGAAAGAATACCTCTTGTTCCTCAAATATGGGCTGGTATTTCTCCAGGGACAGTTTCTTCAAGATACAAGAAAGCTCATCTGAGAAAATACAAAAAATTAAATAAATAAAAATAAAAAAATCTAATCTGAGCCAAGGCTAAGTGCTCAAACAGACCATGTGGCTGGAAAAAATGCACTCAGTGTTTTGTCTTTAACCATAGGTAAAGTGTAGATATAAGAATGAATGACTTTGAAGAGGATTTCATATATTCAAAAAATAAATAAGACAACTAAGTTACCCCTACATTCATTGTAGCTTTACCTTCATCAGTAATGGTTCCACTGCTGGAGCCACCGCTGCTCTTGGAGCGAGGATGGGAAGAGGCTGATGACAGAGAGTCCCCCGGCCCAGCTGGAGGCTTGGGCGTTGGCGAAGGAGATGGGGTCAGAGTGGGTGACGTGCTCTTGGAGGTGGAGGAGTTCCCTGACTGAGGTCTCTTCTTCAGCTCTATCTTCTGCAAAGGGATGAGGGTTGGACAGTAGCACCACTTCACTGAGAGAATTTGGCTGTTTTACATAGTTATCACTGTGATGTCAAAAAAACAAACAAACAAACAAACAAACAAACAAAAAAACAGACCCTTCTTGAGTGGATGTCAGGGAGGCTGATGTCAGGCTGCAGCAGGCTCTGTGCTGGTTGGCCCTGTGTCTGGCTGGGCTGTTTTTCTGAAGCCTGGACCTTTGCATCCATCAGGCCTGCTGCTCTCTTCCTCTGAGCTGCTATCTGGGAGAGAACGCTGTCTGCACTGCCCCCTGGTGGAAGGAAGAAGAGGGAATTGTATTGCAGCTGATGTATGATGTATATTTTCTGCTTGCTGATAAGCAGGTTGTGTTGTGCAGTTAGGGTGGCAGTGTGAACCTGAACGGTTGTGAGAATCCCGGTTGAGTCCTGCCACTCCATTGGAGCCTCCAGAGGAGTGAGGTGAGTGGTAGTGACCAGAATTGGAAGGGGAGGAGGAGGATGGCCCCTTGGGGATGCTGGGAAACTTAATGGACCTGCTAACTACACGACTGATCGACGTCTGATACAGTAAAGAAAGGAGAGAGGACAGCAAGTGAGCAAAAGATGTATAAATGGTGACAAACCAGCACCAGTACCAACCTGAACACAAACTCTCTTTCCTCTCCCCCACTAACACTCACAATATCCGAGTTTCCATTGCTGTTGAGTTTCCTTTGCGGTGGTATGGGCAGGCGGGGCGCTTCGCTCCTGAGGAAGCGTAAACGGTCTGAGTTCCATGGCTCAAAGTTGGAGGGAGGGAGGAAGGGAGGGATTACTGCTTTTAGTTTGTCATTGGGCAGCCGAGTCAAGGGTGCACCACTTCTCAGCTGAGGCAATGAAAAACAGTATAAGAACAACACTACTAGTTATAACAATAACTATATTCCATATTTAACACATACAAACCCTAACTGTAAACCTTAAGCTTGTAACACAAACATCATAACAACTGTTGTGAAAAATGTCTGTGCAGATTCTCAGTCATCCAGGTCACAGTAAGCTGAAAAAACTTGGCCTCTTGGATGAGAGGTGAAACGTCTTCGACCTAGAAATCTAGTCCAGTTGATTTTTTTCTAAGTTTTTTCAGCTTGTTTTGAAAAATCTGTTTTAGCCAAGCTTTCTAGCTGCCAAACTGTAATGAACTGCATAGTGAAACATACTTTACACCAGGGGTGGCATCATGTACACATGTGCATGTTCACCAGAACCCATTTGATTATTTAGACATCCAGTCTGCTTTTAATGTTTTGCATTTTGTCAGTACGGTTTTTCCAGCTTGTAACATCAAACCTTTGGTAATGCCACATGGAAAAAAGGCTACATGTATACACATAATCAAAAAATATACAAATACTCATTTATTAACATTTGTAAACATCCCCACCTTAACCAATTAGTCCTACCATTGTGGTTATTAGGAGGTCCTCCTTTTCTGAGGATGCCCTGCAGAGACCTGGAAAAAGGAACATATACCACATATCACATCCCCTCCTCCATGTCCTAGAACAGCTACAGTACACAAAACCTCCGGTGTCAGTGATGTATTCAAGACTGCAGCTCTTAGTGCTATAAAAATAACAACAGATGAATACGGGGCTCACCAGCATCTTTACTCTTGACAGCCCACGTGTTGCTGGCATCGTTCTCTCCCAGGACAGGAGCTGGTGCCAGCGTGCCATTAGACCCAGCAGTAACTTTTATATTTGCCTTTATCGTGGCATCCAGTGGAGTTTCAGCATTGTTGGGAAATGGAGCCAGGCGATTGGATGAGAGGCCGTGCCTCAGGGTGTGAGTCAGCTTAAGGCGCCGGAACCGATTTGACATCCTACTCCACCAGGACTGAAAGGAGGTGAAGTCAAACATGTAAGCATCATGGTATAGTGTGTGTATATATATATACTATACACTACCAGTCAAAGGTCTGGACACACTTTCCCACTGAATTCAGTGAGAAAGTGTGAAGTTAACATCATTTGATATTATCCACTAATCATCATTAAATCCTAAATGAAATTAAATAATATTGAAATAAATGATCACTATTCATATATATATAAAGGAACAGTACTTGACCTCTCCTTTACCTTAAGGTCACCCTTGTCCACAGGTGGCACAGGGACATTGTTGAGGGACTGTCGGCTTTTGGAGTGACTCATTTTGGAGCGACTGCTGCAGTGTTTCGACTTGTCCTTATCTACTTGCATACACACTGATGCTAACAGACGCACCAGCTCAGTGTCTAAGAAAATTCAAAGCAGACACAGAAAAATGAAAGAAATACGATTAGTAAACAAAACAACATGGAAACTACACACTGTCACATGCTCCTGTCCACTTGGGGTAATTAGTTAAATGGCTAATTAGTCATAACTTAAACAGAATATGATTTCAGATTTAAATACAGACAGAGCTGTATATAAAGAGGACATGGCAAGGAGTGAAGTCACCTACTGGTTTGCACTGGAACTGGTTTCAATGTCTAGAGTTGGGCTTCACTCACCAATGACATTAAATGAGGAAATGTGAACAATTTCTTACACGTCCTATAGCTAATAAGTTTTCAAAATATATTACACAGTACTTATCCTTATATGTGGACATTGCAAATCTCTGTACTTTTTGTAATTAACAGAAAGAATGTATTCCTCATCTTTTTGCTTAACTGTGATGTGGTGTAGACCCTTAGGCAGAAGCTTGCTAACTATATTTTCAGGTTTAATCATGAACCTTACACTTTTACTTTAGGGGATGTAGTTTTTTTTCCAGACACAATAACAAAGCCTTTCGACGCACTGTTGACTACCATGTTTTGATGGCCAAATTTTATATCTACAAATTCTCTAAATATATTTATATATATTTTTTTAATGAAGTCCAAAGCCACAAGTGTCCAAATACAGTCTCCACACTCAGGCATAACAAATGAAATGCCTCTAGCATGTGTTATTATAAAGGTTGTTGTTATTTGTGGCACTTCTCCTGTATCTTGCTACTGAAAACACAGGCTGCTACACTGCTACCTATCAAACTATGAAATGCTAGGTTGCACTCTACCAGGTGATCTGAGCTATTTGCCAACATTAAGACTCACAGCTGTGTTTGATAACAGTAATATCAACCTCACTTAATTTATAACAATGCCACCTGTGCACCAGAGACTGATTCAGCTATTTAAACTTGCTGGTGGATCACAAAGTGCACAGTGATCTAATGGTAACTAAGTGACAAGCAGAGGAAGACCATGAGATGCAGTTGAAAGCTTTTTTTTAAAAAGGTAAGTGGAAGTTTACTTAGATAAAAGCAATGATGATGGCACCTGTGAAATTTCTGCTTATTAAAAAACACAATTCAAGTATTAGATTAGTTGGCATTAACTTTCAGTCCACTCGAGTATCAGTTAATTGACTGACGGCTTCAGCTCTCTAATATATCATTATTGAAAGATGGATAAGATTTCTTTCCAGAATTGCTTATATACATTTTGGAAGAATATGATTTCGTTGTACTATTGGTCAGTATTACAAATACTTCTATACCAGGTCAAAGTCTTAAGAAGGTTTATGAACTTGATAGGCATACATAAAAGACAAAAACCTGCCATCATGCTTTTAAGAAGGTATTACTATTTTAAAAGGACGGATCCCTCATTTTATTTCATTTGTCACCTCCTGTTACTTATTAAATTAGGAAAGAATTGTTTGCTCAGTCCGACTACATTTTCACAGTGATGGTACTGTGAGTACCTGGGTCATTCAGCAGCATAACCAAATCAAAGGCTGTGTATCCATTCTTTGCTCGAAGGTTGACATCAGCCCCTTGACTCAGCAAGTACTTGACAATGTCTTTATTACTGGGGGAAGGAGGCAAACAGGGAAACAGATAAATTGAATTATTTCATACCCCTTCAAATTTTCTCTTTTATTGACTAGAGGCTTAAAATGAGGACCCACTAAAGTAATAATTTCACCATATATGTTTGAATAAAGTGAACAACAAACTCCATGTGAAAATGGAATCTTCCCATTAACTGTACTTTAACTAATTAATAAGCAGGCAGCTCCTGCTTACCCATGATAGGTGGCCTGCATTAGTGCAGTCCACCCATGGACGCAATCTTGTTTATCTATGTCGGCTTTCTTCTCCACCATCAGCTGCACCACTTCTAACTGCCCGCTCACTGCTGCCATCATCAGAGGTGACGCCCCCTCCTGATTGGATGAATTTACCTGAGCGGGATCCTCCTCCAAGATCTCTTTAACAAGCTGGGAATTTCCTGTGGCAACAAATACATATACGAATATGTAAATGTGCAAATAAATGGACTTGACTATGACTTTGTCCCTCGCCCCCAAATTTAATCACCAGCTAGTCTTCTAACCTAATTGCCATTTGCTTTTGCTTTTTGCTATAAATATTCAATTTAACTTACCCAACTTGAGGGCACTGAACACATCTGGTCTCCTTCTCTCATCGTCTGTGAAGAAGTGAGAATAGAAAAGACCTCTGATGTAATAACCTCTCTACAGAAAGGTTCACCACTCACAATAGAAAAGATGCTGCTTAAAATAGAGAAAGAAGGTGAGAAAAGACACATAAAAACACTCTGCATACTGTCGGATATTCAGCCAGTCGGATTTTCTTTCTGCTCATTTGCTGACAAATTTACAAAATTCTCTTGTACCTACATTTAGTAGCCAATAGCTCACTCATTTATCTGTTCTTTTATCTAACTATACATTGACAGATTAGGTGTCACAGATTTGTGTGACTAATACTACAGTCAGTTTTTAGAAGCCCTGCAACTAAACTAACCTACAGTAAATCCCGACCCTCTGGTGAGAAGTGCTCTTGAACATCCAAGGGGCTGAGAGCCACCACTGTTGGTTTTGCTCTCACATCAGTGTTAATTTCAGTACAAAACATCTAGATTCTAGTCATGGCAACACACAGAGTCAGGTTATCAGCCAACACTAACAGGTAGAGACACAGCAACACCTGCTGAA